CCCTCATTTTTGTTGGTTTAATCAAATTAATTCCAGTTTTTCCTTTGTGTGTGTGGAAGTGCTACACTTTCCATTTCCATTCATAGTTTCTTTCCCTTTCTTTGTGTTTATAATCTGACACATATTTCTATATTTTTACCTGAAAACAGGATACTAAGCATCTCCCTCACCACCACAGGCTCTAATTCCCTTTCCCAAGCCCTCTCCCTAGAAAGACTAGCCCTTTAGAACACCTTCACTTCCCTTCCTCTCCCCCTCAGGTGAGACTTCTGGAGCATTTCTATTAACCTGAGCTCCCTTCCCAGGACCTAATTCCTGAGGAATGCAGACAGAGTTGAGTACTTGTGGTTGTAGGTGGTGATTAGACTTTTCCTTGCAGGATGCTCAATCTGTTTCAAGACTGCTATTTACCATTTAGATCAGGGGTGGACACAGTATAGCTAGAGGCCGAAATTCTGCCCAGCATCTGTTTTTGTACGGCCTTCAAGCTAAGAATGGTTCTTCTATTTTCCAATGGACTGAAAAACATCGAAAGAAGAATATTTCATGATGTATGAAAACTATGAGAAATTCAAATTTCAGTGTCCATCGATAAAGTCTTACTGGCACCCCACCACACCTTCTCGCTTCTACCTTGTCTACGGCTGCTTTTGTGCCCCAGTGTCAGAGTTGAGCAGTTGTGACAGAGACCTAGGAGGTACTGGGTACCATAACTCTGGGACGACTCCACAGCATCTCACCCAGCCATATGTTTTATTTATTCATTTTTATTACCAGTGCATAGGCACCATGTCAAAACAGGAAAAGTGGACTTCGAATGTCACACTGTTAATGCTCAGTGAGGTGTGGATTATTGTTTTATCAAATTACATGGCAAAGCTCTGTGTTCGTTATTGGCTGTATTAATAAAATACAACATACACTGACATCACAATATTCCCAGCTCACAGAAAAAAAATGAGACAATTTCAAGCAGTACATCTCATCACAGCAGAATTTCTTCACAAAACAAAACAAAAAGAGAGAGAGAAAGAGAATAGGCTACAATCAAAGTAAGTTTGCAAGTGGTTCATTTGTTAGCCAAGCAAGGAAAGCCATTTACTGGTGGTAAGTTAATTAAATAGTGTTTGATTGCAGCAGCTAAAAAAAGCATCTAGAGAAAGCAAGCTTGTTAAAGATGATTAGATTTGGGCCAAGGCCAATTGCTTGGATGTGGCCCACGGGCCACAGACACTGTAGGTGACACCAATGAGTGAAGCTACATCTATCTGTAGGGGAGTCTGACCCATTCTCCAGTGTCAGTAAGTGAAGCAGAGCAAAGAAGTAAGAGAAAACCTGGGGAGGGCTAAGAGCTGGCCTCCTTATGTGCCATGCACTGTCCTCAGCATTTTGTATTTATTTCACTGTTACGTTCTTTCTAGAACTTACTACTACCTGAAAGCATCTAAGGTACTGTTCCTTGTCAGCTTCCCCCATGAGAACAAGAACTCTGTCTGCCTTGCTATATCCCCAGCACACACAGGAGCTAAGTAAACATCTGGATATATGAATGAATAATGTCTTTTAGGCAATGGGCTCAGAAGGACTATATGCCTTAAGTCTGTCCAGATGGAAAGTGTCCATTCAACACATATCCATATAGGGCTGGGCCTTCCTTGTTTATAAATGGAGGATGTCTTAGAGGCCCAAGCTGAGCTCCCACCCCTTGGCGCAGTGCTGAGAAATTTCCTGGATCTGCCCACATTTCCACACTAGGAGGTGGTCAGGCTGGGACTGAAGCCCAGGCCTGCACGTTTGACCAGTCTGCCACATGGCAAAGACTGTGGCCAACCAAGTGATCTGAAAATCTCTGTGTACTCTGGGTCCTGCTCAAGGCAAATGGGGCTGCCCGTTGGAGTATGTCTGGCCTTCTACTCGTGAGCTGTACTAGGAAATCTCCTTCCTGCTTCCCCTGAGTTAGACTCAACTCTTACATATGAAGCCACTTCACCTGTGAGGTGGAGACTGCTTGTTCCTCAAATGAATGAGGCTGTTGAAATAAAATGGCTCCCCAAGGCATACAGTTGTTACATGGCACAGCTAAGGGTTTGAGCCCAGTCTATGTGATCCCAAGTTCAATGATTATCAACCTGACTAGGAAGAAAAGTCTCCTGCCAAGGATACTCCAGCTTCTTGAGAGCATGCCAGCCTCTCAACTCACTGGGCAAGAATCTACCAGACATGCTGGAAAGATATCGGCTCAGAGGCCAGTCAATGCTGGGTTCAAATCCTGACTTGACCATCCTGTGACCTCGGGTAGGTTGCTTCACATCTCTTGAGCTGGTTTCCAGTGTGGCTCCCTTTGCAGAGGGGCCCTGATGGCCCGAGTTCAGACTAGGAATAAAACTAGCTTTTTTTTTTTGAGTAATTTTGTGTTGTTTGAATTATTTTTTACCATGCACATATATTACTTTTCCCAAATATTTACATATAATTTTAGGAGGAAGAAAGTGATCTATTTAATAATTTCAAAAAAAGTACATAGGAAAAGTAGTAACCTCCTCATTGAATTTTTATAAGGATTCAAAACAACGTATGCAACTAGTAATGGCACACAGTAGGTGCTGAGTAAATAGAGTAGGGATGGGGTGGAGGGAGGCAGGAGGCAGGTGTATTCCTGCCCCTGGGCCCAGAAGGGAATCTGTGGCACAGGACAGGTGTCCATTCAGCTAGGGCCTTAAGCGGCTGGTAGGGGGACCCTAGGTACCGTGCCCTTTCCTACCTTACAGGATCCCAGTCTCAGGACCCCTCCACACACCTCCACAGCCCTGTCTGAAGCAGTCCCTGGCTGAAGGGAGCCTTTCTGCTCAGGATGTCTAGGTGGGATCTGTCGACTGCAAGTCTGGGGCTCTTGTGCCTCCACTTCTGGCCTCCCTGGACTGAGGAGGAAAGGGCCGGTGGCCCCAGGGATGCCCTAGATTGGTGGTATGGTTTGGGTCAGCACATCTCCTTGGCTCTCCCCACTGCCCTTAGGAGGCAAGAGGCATTCGATAGTATGTTTACTTGCTCCTCACAAACCCACACTCCTCATTCTCGAAGGAAGTAATTGCTGCTCCACCACCAACAGGCCTGTGTGGGGCAATTAGACCTGTGAACTCATCAAGTGGGACATTACTCCATGACAGATATTTCACCAGAGAATAATTATGCTTCATAATACTGCTAATAAATCAAGCGAGACAAACGAGTGACGTGCACTTTATCACCTTCGTCTTCAATCAACATCTCAGGGCTGGCCCCCGGCTGATGGAGCCTTTGAGTGGTCCCCATGATTGGCCCATAAGCCCTCCTGGCAGCCCTGGGAGTTTAGGCTGCTGCTCTGCAGAGGAGGAAGCCAACATTCACAGATGGACAGACAGCAAACAGCAGTGGGGTGGGGGGGTGTTGGACGGGACGACACAGACATGGCTCCAGTTCCAGGACTCCAGCCGCAGCGCAGGGTGACCAAGCCTGTCCAGCTGAGCGGGCAAGGTTGGCCTCAAAGTGGAAGGCCTGAGATTACAGAGCTGAGGATCCTGAGTTTTGGATGGACTGTGAGGGGGTAAGTAAGAAACTTCTACTGATTCCCCCTCAGAGGGCAGGTCTAGATACAGTCAGGAGAGGAAGGGAATCAGGCCTGAGCACCAGGAAGAATCCTGAGACAAGGAGGAGGAGAGTGGGAGTTCCTGCAGTGACAGAGTTCCAGAGAAGAAACATGGGGATCTGAGAGAGGGGAAGGAGACAGGGTGGGCATTGGTGGTGGAAACCCCGACCCTGGCTGGTACCCAAGGCCCTGACACTTTCTCCTGAGTGCCTGCTCGGTAAGGGTCAGACCCCATGCTGGAGCCTATGCTGACTTGGGCAGGGTGCTGCACCGGGAGGGGTAACCCTCATCCTGCTGTCTAAGGAACAGAACTGCAGTCCTGCTGAGGAGGCAGACTCCACTGGAACCTGAGCTTCCCAACACTGAGGTCTTAGCACAGCTAAGCTCTGAGCTCACCCGGCTCAGAGACGAGTCCCAAGACCACTCACAGCCACCCCTGCCCTGCAGGGGCCCACATCAGGGAGTGAGGTTTGGACAGACGTTTGGACATTCTCCACCCATCTCTATAAGGCCCAGGAGGCAGGGATTCCCACTGAGACCTACAGTGATAAGACAAAGGAGGGGGGGCACCTGACAGAAGGTAATCCCAGGACTTCAGGACCCCTTTAGGCTCTAGGCTACCGCAACTGCCCACTCTCATGAAAGGCCTGTGAACCAGACTGGCTCACCCATGTCTAAAGACCTGCATCTGGTGATGATGCCAGGCACCCGAGGAAGCCAGCAGCCTGGCCCCTCTCACTCTGTCACCTTCCGGTACCTTCCCACCTCTTGCCCTCTGGCACCCTGCCACCATCACTCCTCACTTCCCCCACCCCACAGGGTGAGGACACGCTTGGCCAGGCCTGCCTTGCATTGACCAGCTATGCTCCCTCTGTCGATATGACTGGCATATCTGTTGATATGACCCAGCAGCCACCCTGCCTAATGGAGGCTCAGCCCCCACTGAGGCCACGAGAGCGAGGGCCTGCTCATCAGGCTGTGAGGCACAAGGCCCGGCCTCTTATCTGAAGTTCAAGGAGGCCACTGATCCTGCTGGCTTCTGGCCCAGGTGAAATGCTGCTGTCTGAAACCAGTTTGTGTGAGGGACCAGGGCTGCTCTGCCCTACACAGGCCACCTCCACCACCAGAGTAGAGGGCAGGGATGGGAGCAGGTGCAGTGGGGCTCCCCTGCCTTGGTTCAGGCCCCGCTCTGTGACTGAGGGTTAGCAGAACTCAGGCCACTCAGCCACTCTGGGCCTCAGTTTCCCTGTTTTAAAATGTCAGAAGTTGGGACCAGAAGCCTCTGAGGTCTTCCTGGTTCTCATCACAGACTCCAACTGTGTCCATCCCGGCTACCAGAGCCCGACAAGGAAGGATGATGGGTGGAGGGACTGCTTACCCGTTCTACAAGGCCATGTTTGTGCTTGAGCTTATACACTTTCAGCCTGGGCAAGAAGCTCTCAGCATAGTCCTTGTCCTCCAGCCCATGGAGCAGGACGCCATGGAAGGCCAGTCGGCACATGTTGGCATGAATGTCCGCATCTAGCCTGGAGCCAATCACCAGGCACAGCCGAGGGCAGGTGACAGGCTTCTCAAATTCCACGAGGGCCCACTGCTGCCGAGCGCAGCGGCCTTCTGTAGCCTGGCCCGTCTTCTTGTTAGCCTCATCACTCTCTGTCGCCGCTGGTGCCAAATCCTTATCTAGGTACTGCTCCTGGAAGAGGTATTCTCGAGAGAAGTCGAAGGAGTCCAGCACAGGCTCATGGTCAAAGCTATCGGGGGCAGGGCTGAAGAACATCAACCGGCCCATGACTGTCTCATGGCCCACCGTGATGTGGAACTTGGCTTTGGTCTGCAGGGGCCCCCGGAAATACGGGATCTTCTCCACAGAGATGATGGCTGCGTGGACAGTGTGCAGGGACTCAGGGGCACACACCAGGCCACGCTCCAGTAGCTTGGGGTCAAACTGGGTGACGCAGATGCCCAGTCGGTCTCCCTGCATGGCTGAGGTGACAGGCATGTGAAACATCTGCATGGACTTCACCTTCTTCACCACCTGGTGGGTAGCAAAAGAGAAAGCTCATGAAACGAAGAGCCTTGAGGCTGGGGGGAAGGGCTCCAGCTGGAGAAGTCCCTATCCCAGTACTGCCAATACTCACTTGGCCCCTGGCAAGGCAACCCAGAGGAGCTCTGGGGCGCTCAGACTCCCCTTGGCCAGAGTAAGCTCCACCCTGCAAACACGAGGCCCACAGGGCACCCTGGTCCAGGATGTGGGCGGTGGTCACGGCAGCCAAATCCTGAGCTACCTTAGCTCCCTCCATCCTAGTCACTACTCCACCCCAGACTCCATTCCAGCACTTTCTTGCCTTGAGCCCTCTGTAGAGGCTTGTCACCATATGCAAGATGGCTCCCTAGGTCCTCAGACTGCCAAACTATGGCCATCTGTCCTTGAAAGCCCAGGCCAAACCCCACTGCTCTAGAAAGTCTACCCTGACCCCCAGTGGGCAGGATCTGTCTCTCTCTCTTTGGTGCTACCCCAGCCCTTCTGAGTCATACACAGCCTGCTCTGCTGTCTCTGCCTATTCTGCACCAATCTGCCTGCTAGCCTGTGGGCTTGGGCTTCTCCAGGGCAGGTCACACTGAGGGACTACAGTGTGCCAGGGACTGTTCTGGGGTAGGAATAGAGTGAGAAACGGCAACAAAACTACATATACATTTAACATTAACTAAGTTTGTACTGAGGGAATTAATATGTAAGACTTTGCGTATAAATACATAACATAATCATATACATTATGATATATAAAGTACTATATTACATGTAATATGTATACCGTATATAACATATAGAGAAGGCCTAGGGTGTGGGGGGAGGTCTGGCTTTTTAGAGCGGTGGTCAGGGAAGGCTTCTCTCGAGGTGATGACTCAGCTAAGACCTAATTATAAGAAGTTATGTGAAGGTCCAGAAAAAGATAGTTCTGAACAGGGGAGCTAATGAATGTATAGGCCGAGGATGGAGGCTCCGTGGGTCTGAGAAATAAACAAAGAGGCGGGAGGGCTGCAGCAGGGAGGGCAGGGAGGAGAGGGCAGGCCGGAAGTCGGAGAGGAGTTTAGGCAAAGGAGTAACCGGATCTTATCTCTGTTTGGAAACCACCACACCAACTACTACACCAGGCAGATTTCTGTACCCACAGTTTGTAAATCAGGAACAGACATAGGAAAGGCTCTAATAAACGTTCATGAAATCAATGAACATTCCTAAGATCCACTGTCGGAGAGGAGATGAGATCACGCTTAGCGCAGCAAAGAAATGGGTAATGTATTTCAGAAAACCTCATAAAAATTTGTTAAGTTAAAGACACTTTGGCCTTCAGGTTGCAAGCATCCCCATCTGCAAAGCCCGGGTGTGGGGAGCACTCGTTTTCTCCCTGGATAAAGAGAGAATGCTGAGCGGCTCCGGGTGCAGGAGGCCAGGCCCTTTCTTGGAGAGCCATAATACTCAAGTGTTTGTTTAAAGATCATTAACTACCTAACCAAGAGGTCAGGGGGCAGAGAAAGTGAGAAGTGCGGTGTCAAAAGCCACAGCCAAGATCAATCAAAGAGAAACATAAAACATCTCTGAAATGGTCTACAAGGGCAATGGGAAACTAAGATTTTCAGGAATGCACCTCAGAGTAACTGGAGAATATTATCTTACACTAAGCGTCTGCCCAGCGAGGCAGGCCCCGAATCACAGCTCTTCCCCCCGAGGCCTGTAGCCGCCGGGTGAGCTGTCCTCTGGCCCCCACCCCACCAATCTCCCTTCTCTAGGCCAGCTTTCTAAAACACATGTCGGATGATGCAATTCCTTGGCACTGACTTCTACACGGGCTCCTCTCTTGCACATCACCACTTTCAAACCTTTTGGGTATAGCTGTTGTGAGCAGGAAGATCCTTTGGTCATGTGAAATTCTATGGGGAATCAGCCCGCTGGCCGCCACCCCCCCACCCCCACACTGGGTAAGCTGCTCAGGGAGGGTAGGGGCTCTTGCACCTCCTGACATCCCCTCTGCTGCCCCACCAAGGACTTCTGCTTGCCTGGCTTCTCCACATGGCCTTCCCTGGAGCCTCCCACCACATGGCCTGCCCCAACACGTGAAGCCACAACCAGGGGAAGCTTGAACAATTCCCTACATACAGAACCACATATTTGTTTTGCCTGTGAGGACCCTTCTCCCTGGGACTTCTTCCACCTAAAATTCCTGTTCATGTCAGAGGACCTCCTGAAACGGCTTCCCTGCTCACTCCAGACTGAGCTGGTTACTCTCCTTGGGTTGCTCTGAACCTGACTTCCTGTGTTGCCATTGCTGCTTTATGGTTCTGCCAGTCTGTGCCTCCTCGTACCTACTGAGTTAAATCACGATAGGGTAAATATCCATGGCCCCATCATTCACCCTGAGAACTAAAACATTACCAATAACTTCACTCTCCTTCTGTGCTCCTTCCCCACCTAGTGCTCCTGCCTGCCCCCCAGCTGGAGGCAACCACTCTCTTGAATTTGGTGTGTGGCATTCCTTTCTTTTTATATATATACGTGTACATGGTTGTGCGGAGGCTCACTACATATGTAGTACATATGCCTAACCAATACTTTGTTTTCTGAGTGTTTGAACTTTAGAGTTCTTGCCCGTGCTGCCTACACCTGCAGCTCATTTGTTGCTGATGCTGTATGTCGCACGGCACACACAGACCCCCATTCAGCCTCCTACTGATGCGCACATGGGTCATTTCCAATTTTTCCCTGGAAAACGATGCAATGAATTCCCTCTCAAACAAGACTCCCGCCTGATGCACAGTGCAGGGAGGGTTCTGGAAGACGCGGGCCCTGGACCAGAACTGCTGGGTCAGGAGCAAGTGAGGGCTCATGTCTGCTAGATAAATAAAGTACCAATGTACGCTTCCACCCACAGGCCAGAGACTCTCAGTGGATCCGGTTCTTCTCCAGTGTCTGGCATGGCCAGATTTCTTAATTTTTGCCTATCAAACTTGTGTATTTCCCCTTTTAAATCCAGGTTCCGGGGCACGTGGGTGGCTCAGTCGTTAAGCGTCTGCCTTCGGCTCAGGTCATGATCCCAGGGTCCTGGGATCAAGCCCCGCATCTGGCTCCCTGCTCAGCGGGAGGCCTGCTTCTCCCTCTCCCACTCCCCCTGCTTGTGTTCCCTCTCTCTATCAAATAAATAAATAAAATCTAAAAAAATAAAAAACAAAAAAATAAATCCAGGTTCCTACTGCTGTACCTTGGTGCCTAGTGCAGAGGCTGGCTGACAGACGCTGTTTATGGCAGACCCAGCTAAACATCCAGCCCATCCAAAGAGAATGGCTGCATCTGATTCTGGAAGAGAAATGCCCCCCATGGCAAAGAAAGCATGGAGTGGAGATTCTGGAGCGGCTGGGGCCTGAGCAAGCTCCTGGTGTTCAGGATGCTCCCTGGGACAGAGGCGCAGGGCCCTCACCACCCTGACGGCCCCCACCCCCCACCATCAAGCCCATCTCCAAGCAGGCTTCATTAAAAGCATGTTCCTTTCAACGGGGCTTGTGTTCTTAGGACTGAAATAATAAAGAATGCTTTAAGAGGGCACTGTGAAGAGCAGAAAGACAAATAACTGTGCAAATCAAGATTTCAAGGGCCCAGACAGGAAATTGTGAAACAGATAAGACAGGGACAGGGTGGCGTGGCACGACCGTGGGCTCTCGTGGGTGCGTGCGGCGGCGGCCGCGGCAGCAGCACGCAGGCTCGCGGACAAGCCCACATTCTTCAAGATGGCCTTTAAGAATGTGAGAGCCCATCTGGGACACCGAAATGCGGGAAGTAGTTATGCCAATTCCAGAATGGGAAAAAAACAGGCTTTCCTTTCATTCACTGGCCAACTTTGAGAGAGTCCATCCATCTACTCAACAACTCACTCATATTTACTAATATCCAAGTTGAGTGGCAGAGGCAGTATATGTACATTCACTCAACACGTATTTATCAAGTTTCTCTCATGTACCAGGCCCAGGCCCCGGCGTGATACAGGGCGAGCAGAACAGACTCTGGAGTCTACTGCTGGGGGTCGGGGCAGAGGGAGCTTATAAAATCATCAACTAATAAATGCAGATTACAAAACCATGGAGAGGTGCTATGGGATAGAATAACTGGGTGACGCAATCCTTCCTGGGTCATCAGGGAGGGCTTCCCTGAGGAGGTGGCGCTAAAGCTGAGACCAGAGGGAGTAGAAGAAACCAGCCACAGGGGCTCCAGGCAGAGGGAAGAGCAGAGCAGGTCTGAGGCTCTGAGGTGGGAAAGAATGTGGCCTGTTTGAGGGATTGAAAGGTGGTGGGCTGGCTGGCGGGGTGGGGGCCAAGGGCAGTGGCATCAGGTTGGAGACATGGGCCCACCACCTTCACCATGAGGACAACAGAAGCCCCCGGTGGTTGTGGTGGCCTGGGGTTGAGCAGAGGAATGTCACCTGCTCTCACATGCTTTGACAAGGTCACTTTGGCTACACGGTGTGGCGAAATAAGAAAGGAAAGAGGGAAAGCAGCAAGGGAGGAACTCTGAGAGTTCTTTGTGCAGTACAAGGCTGGGGTGTACTGGCAGACCGGATGCGGGGACAAGGGAGACCCTGGCACATGAGGACGGACCCCCAGGCTCCGGCTGGAGGGACAGCCTTGAGCTGCAGGGAGGAGGGGCCGCTGAGAGATCTGTGCCTGGGAGAGGTCCGTGAGGCGGCCGGCAGCAGGTGCGCACAGAGATCGCAGCTCCAGGAGAGGCGGAGGCTGGGGGCTAGACAAAGAAGGCTCACGCACCTAACTGCCTCTGGCCTTTCCCCCTGGAGGTCTACCAGGTTTCCACCTCCAGCCTACCACATCTGAGACTCCTCTCCTTCCATCTGTCTGTCTCAGAAGTGGCAGCTGGGTGCTTCCGGCTGCTCGTGTGAAAACTGTGGGTTCCACCTTGGCTCTTCTTGTTCTCTCGCACATGTACCCAGCCATCGGGCGCTCTAGCAGACTTCGCCTTCTCAACAGAGCCAGTGCCCGAGCCCTTCTGCAACCACTGCCCACCCTGCTCCCAGGCCCACCTGGCTTTGATTACTGCCCATTTCCCTGCAGCCTGTTCTCCACAGAGCAGCTTATACATAAGATATGACTCTGCACTTTCGCCTCCAAGCCCTTTACTGTATAACTAACATCCTTGCTGGGACCCCAAGGTCCCACAGTTGGCCCCTGTCATTTCTCTGACTTTGTTACAATTCCCCTGCAGCCCCTATTCACGTCACTTCAGTCACATGAGCCTTCTTACTTCTTGCTCCTGAAACATGCCAAGTGTGCTCCGACCTCAGGGCCTTTGACTGGGATGCTCCTCCCCCAGATGCCCTATTTCTCTTCCTATCCACTCAAATGTTTCTTTATCAGAACCCATCCTTGACTCCACAGTAAGAGCTCCCCATACCTATCTTCTTTTCTTTGTTTTATTTTTCTTCATAGCACTCATCGCTACGTGACATATCATATATTTGCTTACTGACTGTCCCTCCCACACTGGAATGTAACCTCCACGAGGGCGAGGGCTTTATTTTTATTTTCTTTAACTTCTGTTTCTATCTTCAGTGCCCAGCGCAGACATATAGAGGCCCTCGACACCTATTTGTGGAATGAATGAATGCAGCCATGGATGGGTGCAGTATTGTCCCTGCCCCCAGGGAGTTCCAGTCTGGGTCTGGGATGTATACATCTACAAAGGCGCATGGAGGTACATAGCCATGCTGTGAGAGCAGGGCTGGCCCTGAGGCTAGCTAGGAGTTGGGAGGTTCCGGACAACCAAGGGGAAGGAGCCTTCCAAGCCTCTCCGAGGAACGCAGGTTTCTCTGGTGGGGCGCAGTTAGGATGGTGGCAGAGAAGGCAGGTGGCAGAGCAGGGAGGTGGCTCTGCGTGGGACCGCCAGGCAGGCCCATGCCCTGAGCTCGAGTCAGAGAGGGGATGGTGGCTGCCAAGTCTCTTCCTCTTGTCCTTCCCCTCTTTCTGGCACCAAGCACTTCTGGGAAAGGGAGGATGGACCCACAGAGAGAGGGAGGAAGGAATACATCAAGCAAGCAAACAATTTTTAAAACTCAAGTTTGTGCTTGCTAAGCAATTTGGCCCTTTCTGACTAACAAAGAGGCTTTATCATCATCTGGGTCAGTTATTCTTCATGAAAACCCTACAAGGCAGGTCAATATTTTTACATTTAATTTTAGGGATGAAGAAACAGAGGTTTTTGATGTCTCCAAGGTCACAAAGCAAATAGGCTGAGACTTGGGACAATGAGTACAGGGACTGCAAGGCAGGCCTGACATCCCACGGCTGGTCTCTGGACCAGCTAAGCAGAAACCGTGCCCGGGCGGTGGGCGCTGGGAGCAGAGCGCCAGGCTGCTCTAGGTCTGGAGGACCATCGATGTGGATGCCCATGTGGTGAGAACCAGAAAGATGGCTCCAGGGAAGGGGCAGAGGGAAGACTCCACTGTGAAGGGACCCTGCTCAGGGGTAGAAGGAAGCCGAGACTTGGGAGTGGTGGGGACAGACACAGCTCAGGCCCTCCCTCCCCTGCCCAGGCCACTATGGCTGCCCTGGCCATGGTGAGCAACGGCCTCCTCCTGGCCAAGCACAGCAGACAGCTTCAGAGCCAACTTCTCAACTGCTTTGCTCCCTCCTAGCCGCCATCATGTCTGTGTTCGGGTAGCACAGTGCTCAGCACAGGACAGACACTCAGAAAATGTCTGCTGATGGAGTAGATGAGCGGGCAAAGGAACCCTCTGTGCACTCCCAGGCCTGACACACTCAGATACCCCTTCTGGTCTTCTGAGCATCTGAAGCATAGTTCTCCAGCATCCTGAGGACTCTGTAGGGTACTATACTCAGAAGGACCTGGTCTCTGTTTTGGAGACTACTGAAAACCTCCAAAAGAAGTGGCTCAAGGTGGAAATCATAAAGCGTTCATCTCTGCTCTTCACAGCACCTTGCATGGAATAGTGGTACCCAGCTAATGCTGGATTCCATGATTTTACCCCATGACCTGTACAGAGAGACCCTCAACATTGGTCAGATACCTACACGTGATGACGCTCTACAGACATGAGCAACCTTTTAGGTGGCTAACCATGATCTCATTTTATAGACAAGGTAACTGAGGTCCCAGAGGTTAAGACATTTATCCACAGCATCCAGATCTGCCCACCATGAAAACCCAAATTCTTTTACTATATCATGCCATAAAAACACATCTACTCCACCATGGAAATCCAAATGAGTTACAAGCACTGTAGTGAGGTTCACTCACACGCGGGGAGTTCTTTGGCAGCATTCCTTCTGCGGGGTAAGAAATGGAGAGGCCCAGCGACATCAGAATACACTGCAAAGGAACAACAGTGTTTAGGGTCCTCCCGGCATTCTACGGAATCAACAGATGCTTCAAAGAAGTGGACAATAGCCTGCGCTTAGCAGTTTTTCTGATGTGCAGAGATTTTTGTAATAATGGTCCTGGCTGTAATGAGATTGGACCTCTATTATCCATTTTCGTTCCACTAATGAGCCTGGAAGCTCCTGGCTGTGCCAAAGGCGAGGGTCGGGGCCTTGCAACTTCATCATTACTTAATAAAATGTAAATCGGAGAGGAAAAGAAACACACAAGGTTTGACACTAATAAGCTTACAGCAGGATCAGTTACTTCAATTCAAAGAGGTTCAGACCGGAGGGGGAAAAATGAAATAAGCTTTTAAAGATCAGTCTAGGTTTGGCTCCATCAGACCTAACCAATTTTGTTTAATAAGGTTTCAATTTGGCTGCTCTTATTTCTCCCTCTTCTTCGAGCTAGGCCGGGTACAGATAAGGCATCCCCCCACCCCACCCCAGCCTAATGCATTAATTGCCTCTCACACAAAAAGCCAAACTCGGGACTCTGCACTAGGAGAGAGCAGTGTGGGCCCCTGGGGGCAGCCAGCACCTCCCCTGCTGGTACAGACCCCGGCACCACCTCTGGGACTGCAGAAGAGACCACCACATGGATCCTGGGGACTCCATTCTTACCCACTTGTTTTTTAGAGAAATGAAAACCATCACCAAAGGTATGGGGAATCAAATGACATCAGAACCACCTGTGTTCCCATCCTGAAACTGACCGCTAAGATGTGTCACTCGTACTTCATGCTGACAGCAAGCTGAAGAGCTCTAGTCCCATTTCCCTCCTCGACTCCCTGCAATTACTTTCATGAATTCCTTATGTGTCCTTCTATTTTATACATTTTGACCCATGTGTGTGTCCCCGGATAGTATATATATTTGTTAGTTTATACAAATTGTCCCATATTATTGCTTCACTCCCACTTGCCTCCTTCTTTCTGTATTATGTTTCTGACATCTGTTCTTCCTAGGAAATAGAGATACCGATCTATGTATCTATTTAGCATATATTTATCTAAACAGAGATACTGCTATCTCTGTACATATCTAGGTGATTCTTTTTGACCACTGCATGTTATTTCTTTGTAGGAAAGCTCCACCTTTTATCCATGCCGTCACCAATGGACACAAGTTGCTATTTTTGCTGCTAGAGATGATGTTGCAGTAACCGTTCCTATACACATGGCCCCGTCCACACGCACAGCGTTTTTCTAGCATGGGTATCTGCGTGGAAGGCTGGCGTGGGGGCTATAGTCCAGTGTCGCCAAGTCTCACCGATTGCTTTCTGAAGTGGCCGGCTTCCACCCACATGGGCAGTGCAAACCCTCGCCAGCACTTGGTATTGCAGGCATTTTAACTGTTGCCAGGCTGATGGATTAGGCATGGTGTCCCATTGCTGTCTTCATGTGCATTTCTAGGGCCAGGCTCCTCAGAATCTCTGCTGCTTCTAGTTCACCCAAGATAAACTGATGAAAGCCCCTTGTCTCCTGAGACCCTGCCAGGCCCCAGGGACTTCATGGGCATGCTCCTGAGCCCACATGGCTCTTGGAGGTAGGAGCGATGCACTGGAGGGGCAGGGAGGAGATGAGGTAGAGGAGATCTGCCCCTCCTCGCTGTCCTGGCTCTCCTCCTAGGCTTCCTGCCCTCTGAGCACTGGTGCCAGGAAACGCAGTCCTAGCAGCACTCAACACACTTCTCCTTCCACCTGGCTGTGTCTCTGCAGAACTGTGCTGGCTGACCAGAGGTGGGATCTGTTCTACGCAAAAATTCCATTGGGGCCTCAACAAAAGACCAACTGGCCCCTGGGGAAAGAGGGGAGGGAGCCAAGGAGAACTTCCTCTCCGAGATCCCTGCTAAGAAATAAGGAATGCCCCATATGAAAAGGAAAAGAGGATCTTTAGGAGCCTGGGGGCCCACAGACCCCCAAAGACCCAATTCTAGGATTAGAGATGGAAGGGGGCTTTGCCTGTCTGCATGTCTGCCTGCTCTGGCTCTTCTCCTGGCCCTGGGCGCCCAGGCCAAGTTCCCACTCCCAGCAGGGCCCACATGCATCTTCCCCACCTGCACACCTCTCCCACTGAGACCAGCTCAGGGCACCCGCTCAGGGCCTTGGAGCACCCTACAATGTTCTTCATGGCACTCGCAGCACCTTAATCATTTCCACTATGTGCCTGTGCATTCTGTTGTTTTCTGTGGGGCTCCCGTGCCACATGGACAGCTGCCCATGCATAGGTTGGATTTATTTTGCTCACCACCGCCCTCCATGTGGCAGCCGGGGAGGAAGGGAATGGATTTGGTTTCCTACCACATGGCCCAGGAAAGGCCCCTGCTCCTCCATAGCGACCTCGCAAACAAACCCTGGTTATGAACCTCCCAGTTGCTGCAACAATGGAGAACCGTAAAAGTGACAAGGGGTCTGCCAGGAAGCTTTATGCTCCTCCTCCCAGCCACCCTCCACGCATTTGTCATCCCATAAAACTTTAAATTGAATTATACCAATGTTTGAGTCTTCTGTTTTCCATACAACTGGGGCTTTAATTGTTTTTAATGATATCCCTGGGCTTTTTGGGGGGTAAGGAATCCTTGGGAGGCAAGCCAAGGGAGCCAGCTCTGTCTTCGGGGCAGGGCCCAGAAAAGCCCTCTGTGGAGCTGCGAGCATGACCACACCTGTGCGGGTGGGCCTGCGCAGAGAACCCAGACGGGCTTGGGTCTCAAAGGGTGGGTCCCAAGTCTCCCCTTTCCTTCAGTCCTCTGTGAGTGCTCCCCCTCTCCCCCATGGCCCCTGCTCCTGGGGGGGTACACCAGGCCCTGTGCTCTAGCTCTGAGCTTTGGGCAAGTTTCATGACCTTTCCAAGGCTCAGTTTCTTCATCAGTAAAATGGGGCTAATACAACCTAGGCCACGGGGCCTCTGTGAAAGATTTAAGGAGGCGGCATGCACCTACTATCTAGTGGAGCACTTGGAGAGTGCCAGGTCTTCCAGTGAACACGGTGGCCCCAGCCCCAACTCACGGTCCAAACCTAAGCCTCTGGCTTTTTCCTCATCCTTTAAAAGTTGCCATTGCTCATAAATGAGAAATCCTGAAATTCGTCTGCCCCACACCTACAGTTTCTTCCCATTCCTGGTCCCCATTTCCCACGCAGACTCCCCCAGCAGTCACCCCTTGCCCATGTTTCTGCCAGGTCACCCGCCTAGTATAGAGCCCGGGTCATACAATGCCCTTGCTCAAGCCCGCCCAGGCTCTGGGTGTCACGCTCACTCTCTGGCTGGCACTCAGCCCACCCTCCTCTCAGCCTGGCCTCCTTCCATGTCGATGCCCCGGCTCACTCTGAGCCTCTGCTCCTGCTTATTTATCCACCTTTCACAGCGGGCATTCTTCAGGGTCTGCTGCCAATGTCATCACCTGCATTCCCTCAACACACATACTAGTAGCACCTGCTACCAGGCAGGCCCTTCACTTGACCCTGGGGACATAGGGGAAGCCATGGCCTTTGCCCTCTATGACTCCACACTCACTGTGGGGAGCAGGTGTATAAAGGGCTATTTAGTACACAGTGTGTTGAGTGCCACTAGAGGGGCTCAGGGGGCCTGCAGAGAGAGGAGGTGACATCTGAATTGGATTTTGAAGGATGATGCCATGCAAATGAGATTAGGAGAGACAGAATGGGTGCATGGGGAAGGGGTTGTGGGGAAAGTGCAAGGAGGTGCCAGCAGGTCTGGGCAGAGTTCTATGGGGTAGGGTTCAAAACAAGATGAAGCTGATGCTGAGGCAGGGCTCTGAGGGGGCAGCAGCCCCTTCTCCCCATCTGTGCATCTTGTCCTGATGAGGCAGGGTCTGCCAATACAGAAGGGATTCAGGAATAGCCCGTGGAACGGAGTTCCAGGAAAAGCAAGGCTGGGGTTCTCACTTCCCGATACCTCCCAGGGAGAAACCTGCGCATGTGAGCACAAGATAAGATGGTCACCACGGCAGAGGTAACAGCCACGGAGACCGGGCAGTGGGCCAAGAGTCCATCCATGGCACATGGCAGTGGGCAGTATGGAATGTCCATGCTCACAAATGCAGGCACTGTCAGGCTCTGTATAGAGTGACTGGGTGAGGCCAATATTGGGCAAAAACAGAAAAAGTGCAAAAACCACACGACATGCTACATTTACAAAATGGCATCATGTATTTTTACGTATACATATGTATTGCATAGAGAAGGGTTTTGAAGGGTACACTCAAAAGAATTAACAGGCGCCTCCTCTACACCAGAGGCCAGGATGGGGTGTGACAGAACAGGCCCTTTCCCCTTAACTGAAAAGTTTCACTTTGGGGACATGCAGGCATTCATAAACTGGTTATATAATTAAAAATTAATTCTTTAAAAATAAAAGGCAGACATTCTAGTCAATTAAATTTAATACAATCAGGTTCCAATCAATTCACTCAACGAAGACTGACAGTTTGCTCTGAGCCAGACTCTGTGAGGGTGCTGGGCCAGGAGGAGCAGTAAAGGGAGGTGGGCAGGGTGGGAGGGGCCCCAGGAGAATAAGACACACTCCCTGGTCTCCCTGCTGAGTGCTGTAACCCCAGACTTGAGTCTCGCCTTCCCCAACAACACCCTGAAGCTACAGCGGCAGGACGAGAAGCCAGTAGGCCCCCTAACTAAAGCCTGGCCCAACCTCCCTTCTCCACATGGGAAGACACTGGGGACTCTGCTTGAGGCAGCTGGCACAGAATGGGAGACTCTCTCATTTCTCCTGAAACCTGGAAACAGTCATGCCACCTGCCAAGAGGGGGAGGACAAAAGAGGTAACACAAGGCTCTGAGTTCCTACAAAATAGAAGGGAAGAGTGGCACAATGGGGGATGCAACCACTCTGAACAACCCCAGCTCCATGCAGCACCCAGACCAAGAGCCAGCTAGCAGGAGGGGTGACCCCAGGCCAGGCCTGAGAGCCAGGCACTC